AGGGACTCTAGAATGGGACTGGAAAATATATTGTTGATTAACCAAGCAGTTACCTCAGTGGGAAATGATAATATAAGGGCAGATGCTTCATTTACAGTCACAGACTAATCCTGGTTAGCTAGCCATATGCAAGCCTTTAGTTGACCTCACTTCTGAATTATGTATCTCTACCAAAAAAAAAAAAAATCCTTTTTCTGATTGTGGAATTACCCTGCCCCCACCTAGTCCTTTGAGAGCAGAAGACTGCATTCAGTGTTCAATGAGTAGCAGTCAGGAAGAATCTTAACTAACTTCCATGGAAAATTGTGATAATTTTTTAAAATTTATTTTGACGTTATGGTTTGGGAATAGGCATGAAAGTGAACTTTAAACAGGGAAATACACTTGTTACACCAAAAAAAGAAATCATGATTATTCATAATTGACAAGAATTTGAGGATAGAACAATCCCTTCTCCTTAGCCCTGGCAGAGTTTTATCCAAATCAGGAACCACTATGCAGGTAAGCCCCCTTCACGGATTGCTGCCTTCTCGTGGCGAAGGAGCTTGAGTAATTCAGAGAAGCTATGGGCTATGCCGTGCAGGGACACCCAAGATGGGCAGGTTATAGTGGAGAGTTCTGATTAAATGTGATCCACCTGGAGCAGGAACTGGCAAGCCACTCCAGTATCTTTCCCAAGAAAAGTCCATGGACAGAAACAAAAGGCTAAAAGATACCATGCTGGAAGATGAGCCCCTCAGGTCGGAAAGCATCCAGCATGCTATTGAGGAAGAGGTGAGGACAAGGACAAGTATCTCCAGAGCTAATGAAGTAGTAGGGCCAAAGCCGAAAGGACGCTCAGCTGTGGACATGCCTGGAAGTGAAAGGAAAGTCCAATGCTGCAAAGAAAAATACGGCATAGGAACCTGGAATGTAAGATCTATGAACCTTGGTGAGCTGGATGTGGTCAAACAGGAGATGGCAAAAATAAACATTGACATCTTGGGCATCAGTGAACTAAAATGGACAGGAATGGGTGAATTCAATTCAGACGATTACCATATCTACTATTGTGGGCAAGAATCCCGTAGAAGAAATGGAGTAGCCCTCATAGTCAACAGAAGAGTGGGGAAAGCCGTACTGGGCTACAATCTCAAAAATGACAGAATAATTTCAATACGAATCCAAGGCAGACCTTTCAACATCAGAGCAATCCACGTTTATGCACCAACCACCAAGGCTGAAGAGGCTGAAAATGACCAATTCTATGAAGACTTACAACACCTTCTAGAACTGACACCAAAGAAAGATGTTCTTCTCATCATAGGGGACTAGAATGGTAAAGTAGGGAGTCAAGAGATAAAAAGAACAACAGGTAAGTTTAGCCTTGGAGTTCAAAACGAAGCAGGGCAAAGGCTAATAGAATTTTGTCAAGAGAACAAGATGGTCATCACAAACACTCTTTTCCAACAACACAAAAGGTGACTCTACACATAGATATCACCAGATGGGCAATACCAAAATCAGATTGATTATATTCTCTGTAGCCAAAGATGGAGAAGCTCTATACCACTGGTTCTTAGCCTTGGGTTACTCAGGAGTTTTGGACTGCAACTCCCAGAAGCCTTCACCACCAACTGTGCTGGCTGGGGTTTCTGGGAGTTGCAGTTCAAAAACATCCAAGTAACAAAGGTTAAGAACCACTGTTCTATACAGTCAGCAAAAACAAGACCTGGAGCTGATTGTGGCTCTGATCATCAGCTTCTTATAGCAAAATTCAAGCTTAGACTGAAGAAAGTAGGAAAAACCACTGGGCTAGTCAGGTAGAATCTAAACCAAATCCCTTATGAATACACAGTGCAAATGAAGAGCAGATTTAAGGAACTCGATTTAATGGACAGAGAGCCTGAAGAACTATGGATGGAGGCTCGTAACATTGTACAAAAGGCAGGAACAAAAACCATCCCAAAGAAAAGGAAATGCAAGAAAGCAAAGTGGCTGTCCAATGAGACCTTACAAATAGCAGAGAAGAGTAGGGAAACAAAATGCAAGGGAGATAAAGAAAGTTACAGAAAATTGAATGCGGACTTCCAAAGAATAGCAAGGAGAGACAAGAGCGTCTTCTTATATGAACAATGCAAAGAAATAGAGGAAAATAATAGAAAGGGGAAAACCAGAGATCTGTTCAAGAAAATTGGAGATATTAAAGGAACATTTTGTGCAAAGATGGACATGATAAAGGACAAAAATGTCAGGGACCTAACAGAAGCAGAAGACATCAAGAAGAGGTGGCAATAATACACAGAGGAATTATACAGTACTAGGAAGATCTGGATGTCCTGGGCAACCCAGATAATGTGGTTGCTGACCTTGAGGAAGACATCCTGGAGAGTGAAGTCAAGTGGGCCTTAGAACGTTTGTCTAACAACAAGGCCAGTGGAGGTGATGACATCCCAGTGGCACTATTAAAAATCTTAATAGATGACACTATTAAGGTGCTACACTCAATATGCCAGCAAGTTTGGAAAACTCAGCAGTGACCAGAGGATTGGAAAAGATCAGTCTACATCCCAATCTCAAAGATGGGCAGTGACAAAGAATGCTCCAACTACTGTACAGTTGCACTCATTTCACATGCTAGCAGGGGCACGCTCAAAATCCTTCAAGGTAGGCTTCAGCAGTACCTGTATGTGGACCTAAAAGTCCCAGAAGTACAAGCTGGATTTTGAAGGGGCAGAGGAACTAGAGACCAAATTGCTCACATGCGGTGGATTATGGAGAAGGCCAATGAGTTCCAGAAAAACATCTACTTCTGCTTCATTGACTACGCAAAAGCCTTTGACTGTGTCGGCCACAGCAAACTATGGCAAGTCCGTAAAGAAATGGGAGTGCATGACCACCTTATCTATATCCTGAGAATTCTATATGTGGGACAGGAAGCAACAATTAGAACTGGATATGGAACAACTGATTGGTTCAAAATTCGAAAAGCAATACGACAAGGGTGCATATTGTCCCCCGGCTTATTTAGCTTACTGTATATGCAGAATATATGATGTGAAACGCCGGACTGGATAAACCCCAAGCCAGAATTAAGATTGGCGGAAGACATATCAACAATCTCCGATATGCAGATGATACCACCCTGATGGCAGAAAGTGAGTAGGAGGGTGAAAGTGGAGAGTGCAAAAAATGTTCTAAAGTTCAACATCAAAAAAACTAAGATCATGGCCACTGGTCCCATCACCTCCTGGCAAATAGAAGGGGACGATATGGAGGCAGTGACAGATTTTACATTCTTGGGCTCCATGATCACTGCAGATGGTGACAGCAGCCCCGAAATTAAAAGACGCCTGCTTCTTGGGAGGAAAGTGATGACAAACCTAGACAGCATCTTTAAAAGCAGAGACATCACCTTGCCAACAAAGGTCCGTATAGTCAAAGCTTGTCGAGGATAATTTCACACTGTGGCAGAAGAAGGTCTATGGTAATCAGCAGCCATACTTTATAGGTGTGCAAAATGCTGAGTCATGCAGCGTAGGATGGTGCAATGTCCACACTGATTGGCTGTACTCAAATGTTTCTACAGCAGTGGTCCCCAACCTTTTTAGCCCTGCAGAGCGGCTGGAGAAGGCAGGGCACCCTCCTCCGCTCATGCGCTTGGGCGATGGCATGTGTGCGCACTTGTGCGCATGTATGAAGGGTGGTGTAGTGCTTGTGGGGGGCACGCGTGCTTGTGTGCCTACGTAAAAGGCAGCGCTGTTCTCGTGCAGGCATGTGCACACTTGTGCGTATGCGCAAAGGACGATGTAGCTCTCATGCAGGCATGTGCGCTCTTCTGTGCATGTGTAATGAGCAGCGCTCATGTGGGCGCTCGCACGCAGGCGCAAACAGGTTGTGCTGGGGTGAGTGCATACGGGGGGCCGGGCGGGAGGTCTGTCTCCGCTGCAGGTCCGGCTCAGGCCATGGACCGGCACTGAGCCACGGACCTGGGGGGACCTCTGTTCTACAGCATTTTTTTTCACCATCTGTGCTACATCAGACTGTTCAGCTGAAGGAGATGATTGGACTCTTTTACAAACTTTGACTCATCAATTTACCACAGAGCTAATCTAGGCGTGTCAATAATACTTAACTCTGTGATCCTGCGCAGAGTTTCCCTGTGAGATCAGTATGTCTTAAAAAAAAAAAAAACTAAACAGGAATATTAATAATAGCACTAAAGAACTGGCAAGACACTTGGAGATTATGTAATCCGTCCCCTATTTCATAGCTGAAAATCCTGTAAGGAAATCTTCTGCTGTTCCCAGCAGAGGCTACTCTCATCAAATACTGTAGCTGTTCAGACTTTGCTTGAAGATCTCCAGTGAAGGATAACTTCTTTCCCAACTTTATGAGTAATTGGCTCTGCTGTCATGCTTCAGTTGTCAGTAAACTCTTAGATAACATCTTATTTTAAAGACAAAGGTGAGGTAAGAATATTTTAAATAAATAAATGCTTTGCAGAAATCATCATGTCTGTAACATTACCACAGTCCACACTATGTTAGTCACCCACTCAGAAGAAAATATTAATCTGGCAGGATTTATTATTGGGAGATCTATTCTGTCTTCTACTACTCACAGCATTATTATCAAGGTGCCTACAAACTGACTCCTTTATAACCTGTTCAAGTATCTTCCTTGATTTTGAAGTCAAACTGCACTTTTCCCTTTTAAAGAATGTAAGAACAATTATTTATTTATTTATTTATTTACAATATTTTTTAGCCGCACCATTGCCAGTGGCTTCTGGGCGGCGTACAACTGACAACCTGTCAGTTGTCTTATCTGACCTTACCTTTGTAGGATTACAGACTGAATTCATAAGAGTACATCAGCAAGTACCTCTAGTACCTAAAGTGAAATACAAATACTGCAATTTGTCATGTATTAATAATCTTATTAATAATCTTATTTAATTTTAATCCTTAAAATATTTTATAAAAACAGTCCGTCAAAAATGTCTTCTTTTTTTCCAGGAGCTTCCATTGCCTTTGTTGAATACCTCTGCCAATGAAATGGATGAACAAGCAAGAGCTGCCAAAAACTGTAAGCATGATTCTCAGGAGTCCATGACAATAGCCTGGCGTTACCAGAACATCCCAAAATTTGAGGTATGTGCTGTCATATATAATGTTGAATTGTGGATATTTATTTAACAGTATTACTGGTTGAGTAAGTATAACTAAGTATAACACTAAACAACAATTCTAAAAAATATAGAAGTATAATCAACCCCTGTGTTTGCTGTCTAATGTTACTGCAAGGGTCAGAGAATGTTCATATCTTCTTCACATGTTGATTGTCCACTGTAAGTGACTTCCTATACATTTTCTGGTTTTGGAAGAAATGCCAGAAGAGACCATTTAAAGGAAGAATTAAAAACTTCAAAAAACTTCTGAACATCGCCTTATTTTCTACTGATTCACCACATATAGCCTCCCTTTGCATTAATGTATCCGCCTATATAGGTTTAGGGATACTGATTTTCCATGTTGATATGCACTGCTGTCTTAAGCAGGTCATACTGTTCTCTGCAATAAGAATTATAAATATTAAATATACGTGCTTCAGACTTTGACCTCTTAGTTCCACACATTTCCAAGAATTGTCTTTTTTTGTTTATACCAGGTTGTATTCTAAATTTATCTGAGCATAGACATCTTGTTGTGTGTTAAATGAATGGCATGTGGGATATCCTTCTATTGGAAACACTGAATTGAATCAGGCTGTTGACTTGCTTATCCATGTGCATAATATGTAAAGTAAGCACTTGAGATTATATCAGCTTCACTGTCATTATAAACTAATTGTTATGAAGGAACATGTAAAAAATCAAGTCCAGTGGCTAGTTCTACAGAGTTTACAGATAGTATTTTTTTAGTTATATTTCTCCCAAGGCTAGCAATTTTCTTGCCTGAAATAACAGTATGGTCAAATCTGTAAAATAAAATGGAATATTTTGGTGTACTCAGTCCTACACATTTGTTGTTATGTAGTCTGATGTATATGTCGTCTACTGCCTGGTAGGTTTGGCTTTATATTAAAGAATATAATTGGAATATGTCAAACTGATTTTACAGGGCTTGGCATGTTTGGTTTTCATGAAATTTCACAGACATGGCTATGAATCTGTATAACACAGAAGATTTATGTATGATGACATGTCAAATCAAATACCCTCCAGGCTGACCATGCAAGCTCATCAATTTTATTAACATGAAACTTGATGTATCATACTGAACCATCATAACGTATAATTTATACTTACATAGAAATCATTGTGTTCATAAGTGGAAAATCGGGGAACTTACTGATACTACATCCTGTTGGAAACTGTCATATTTTTGTGAAGTAGCATGAAATTTCCCAGTTTGATCGAATAGTATGCCATACAGTATTCATCTGTTAAGGTATAGAAGTATTTGGTGAAAATTGATCTAACATGCAATCTAATTGAAGATGGTTGTTGTCGAGCAACAGCTTTGTTTACTACACTGAGGTTAGTGGTGGGAAATGCAAATAACTGCAAGTGAAAATCCTCTGTGTATTATCATTGTAGATACTTAGCCTCCTGGCAAAACTGCTTATTGTGGGCAGTTGCTGTAAGTCATATCCCCTGACAGGTGCACATAAAATCCCGGTATTTGTCACATTCCTTTTTCTAGAGGAACAGAAAACAACTATAAGTTTGTTGCTTGTTTTTCTGACACTTGTCATCAGTTCTGCCCGGTAGTCCCTTCTTCTCTCCTTGTTGAGCAGCACTGGGATCAAGGCTGCACTCTGGTGTGTTTTTTTTTAAATATGCCTTTGTGGTAGCAACTCAAACCCCAAGTGTCAGAGGAAGAATTCAATTAGGCATAAGGGCTGCCATTGTCTGAAAAGGACGACTGTCATGCCAACATATACATATATGCATGGAAGCACCATCTTTACTCAAGTCTCTCTTTACCTCTATATGTTCCTGCTCTCTTTGCCCTTATTCCCACCTTTATTTATTTATTTATTTAT